ACAAAGAGCTTGCTGTCTATCATCTTGAGATGCCGCAGGACTGGAGATAGGCAAATGTTGCCCAAATAGTAAAAAGAAGAAAAAAACAGGGCTGGGAAGTGGGAGAGTGGGGGAGGATCCGGGAAATAACAGACTTGTCATTCTGACATCAGTACCAGGGAAGATCCTAGGGCAGATGATGAAGCAGTCAATTTGCAAGCATCTTGATAACATTGCAGTGCTTAGTAGTGGCCCCTCAAGCTGAACCTAGTCCATCAATCATGTATGAGCGCACTACCAGTGGTGAGATAAATCACACCCTTGTGCTTCCTGCCTGCAAAACTGGGGGCCAGGATTGGGGAGGGGAAGTGCCTGCAGCCCACAACGTATGTCTGTTGGCCTGTCTTGTGCTTGGTGGATTATAGCTTTAATAGACCTGCTTATCTTGACAGTAGTCTGATAACTTACAATATCTGATGGTTTAATAAGTGGCAGTTGTTTTGATTATGGGCAGATCCCCATCTAGCACAACTTGTATGAATCATTCAAAGAAGGAGCAGGGAGACCTCACAAGGATTAGATAAATTATTGGAAGATAGGGCTATCAGTTGGCTACTAGCCTTGATTGATATGCTCGACCTCCACTGTCGAAGGCAGGCAGCCATGCTTCTGATACCAGTTGCTGGAAACCACAGGAAGGGAGAGTGCTGTTGTGTTCAAGTCTATCTTGGCTGTGAGTCCTGGAAGACCTGCTCCCTGCCTTACAGGCTCTTTTCCACCTGGCATGGGAGGGTGTGGCCCGGACTGACTCCAACTACAAAAGCTGAGGCTGCTGAACAGACTCGTGGGCTGAGGTTGTGGGGGTTTTTTTGGGGGGGGTGCTGTTGGTTTTTTGTAACTTTATTTTAGATTTTGTTGTGATTTATGTGGAAATTGTTCAGTTTAGTTTTGTAACTTTTAATGTTTAATTTATTGTTTATGAATGCTTTTGTTACGTTGTAGATAGGGCTGGGCGATATCTGGTTTTCAACATTGCGGTATATCATCAGCTGAACACAATGGTATATACCGATATATCACGATGTCTGAAATAAGGATGTAACTATGTAGAGGCAAACAGGATAATGTCCTGGCAATTGCTACTACTTAGGGCAGAGCTTTCCAAACTGTGCGTTGCGACACATTAGTGTGTCGGCTGCAGTGTGTAGGTGTGTCATGCGAACACTCCTCCTGGGGCTGAGAGGGGGTTAGTTTAACCTCTGTTTTGCTAGAAAACTGAATTACTGTGTCATGAAATGATGTGTGTCTGAAAAATGTGCCATCACCATGAAAAGTTTGAAAAACTCTGACATAGGGGTCTAAAACTGATACATTTTTACTTACCTTTAGCATACTGTTAAAACTGCTATTTTATAAGCAGCAGGGGCAGCAGAAATCATGAGAGAAGTTATGACCGGCTCCACGATTTCCCCCCATCACAGTTTTTTATATAGCACACAAACACACACACATCGTGATTTGTGATATATCACTATGTCAGATATTATGAAACCATTCTTCTTATGTTCCTGCTTTGCACAGGCTTGATGACTGACCATTTTGTTTCACCGTTTCTCCTTGGTGGACATTATTCCTCCTTCTGTTATTCTTTAGATGAATTGTGCCCCAGGCATTTAAATGAATGGTGGTATCCGATGCTATTTGTACTCAGAGTGAAGCCATAGAAATTAACAAACTTAACTAACTAAAGTCTATTGATTTCAATGGGTCTACTCTGAGTACAACTTAGTTGGCTACCATGCTCTTAGAATAGTTGACTTGCCTTGTTATATTTAGTACAGCATGACTCATTGTATATATAATTTCCCCCGACTCTGATGCCAAGGAACAAAGACTTGGAAAAAAGATCTATTCAAATAATTGGGAATTCATCTACATGGCTGGGGATCCAGTGAACCGCAGAACCATTTCTACATGTTTAACGATATAAACATGCCCAAGGTATAAACTTGACTAGCAATCCAAATAAGCAAGGTGTGTACATGGCACAAACTTAGCTGGATATTTGTCATAGAATCATAGAATCATAGAATCATAGAGTTGGAAGAGACCACAAGGGCCATCGAGTCCAACCCCCTGCCAAGCAGGAAACACCATCAGAGCACTCCTGACATATGGTTGTCAAGCCTCTGCTTAAAGACCTCAAAGACCTTGTCTGCACACAGTTCCGATTGCTGAAGACATAAGCCATGGTTTCAGTTTTGCAAATTCAGCAGTTGTTAAGAAAGAAATAGAGGAGGAATCTTATGTTCTGAAAGCATGCAAATACTAATTATGGGATAAAAGTGAAACAAATTGAAATTTGGCAGGAACAGAGGGGGTGGACACTATTTTCCAGGTGCCCTTTCTCTTATCTCTGTTCACATGGTGGTAAGCAAACTGTACCTGTGGAACTTCCGACTTCCTCTGAAAGAGAGAGGAGCCATAATCCTTGTGGAATGTGGCAATCTTGTGTTGGCACACAGCACACTCTGTGGCTCACCACTGCATCTGCTGATATCTGTAGGATCAACATGCAACACTCCAATCCTAAACATTTGTGTTGGACAGCATTGATGTCCCTGGCAAAATGTTGCGCTGTAAGTCGCTGCAGTGGGTAGAGCAGTTTATTTGCCATATGTTTTGCATTTATTTCCTGGCATAGTCAACATCAAAATTGGGATATTATGGTGTGTGTTTTTTGTTTGACTGCTTCTTTTCTATTTTAAGCTGTCATTTCAATACTGCCACGGCCAAGATTTGCCAAATCAAAACATCAGAAGTAAGTGAGACTGAATAGCTGAGGGTATTTGTTCTGGAGAGTAGATTTGAGCAGAGATGTTGTGAATTAAGGGGAATATGCCTGATGATTTATAGAGGCATGTTGCTTGAGGCGGAAGGAGAACAGGAGAGACTTTCCTTGAGTACAAGGAACATGATATATTCTAATGACTGCAGGAGGCTGTTTGTTTTATTTTTGGAGTAGATTTGTTTGCGCTTAAAGTGTGTTTGCTGGGGGAGGAGTTGAAGGCCAGAATAGCTTTGGAATATGTTGAATGCCATGGAATTTAAAGACTCATTCCCTTCAACTTAGAAGATCTCTAAGCCTCATATGCTGCTGGTTACTCAAACACAGCACATGGAAACATCTGTTGTGTGGAAACATCATGCAAGGCTCATCTGCCATGTGGACTTCTTCTTTGTGGTCTGTCTATCTGCACTGTCAGAGGCATTATGCCTCTGAATACCAGGTGCTGGAAAATGCAGACAGGCAGAGTGCTCATGCGTAGCTTGCAGACTTCCCACAGGCATCTTTTTGGCCATTGTGAAACAGGATGCTGGACTAGATGGGCCAGTGATCTGATCCAACAGGCGTTTCTTACGTTCTTATGTCTTACAGTCCAGCCCTGTACAGTCGTACCTCAGAAGTCGAACAGAATCAGTTCCGGAAGTCCGTTCGACTTCCAAAACATTTGAAAACCAAAGTGTGGCTTTTGATTGGCTGCAGGAGCTTCCTGCAGCCAATCAGAAGCCACAGAAGCCCTGTCAGACGTTCGGCTTCCAAAAGAATGTTTGAAAACCATAACACTCACTTCCGGTTTTCGATTGTTTGGAAGCTGGAACATTCGACTCCCAAGGCGTTCGGGAGCCAAGGAATGACTGTATATTGTTTTGGTTGAGGTGGGTTAAGCAAGTTGCAGCTTTTGCCATTCCAGCACATTTTCAGCCTAGGTCAGAGAGAAAGAGGACCTCAGGCCTGGTGGCCTTCATGCAGTCCTATAGGCCTTTTAATCTGGTCTTTGGGCTTCAAAGGCCACATGGCTTACTGACTGGAATGTGTCCTTGAAGTGTGATAATGCCTCTTGCTTGCCTGGATAAGGGATGGAGATGTGTGTGTGAGCAGAAACCTCTGAGCTTTGTTTTGCTAGAAGGTAGTGCCAGATTTAGGGCACTGAGCACAGTCCCTCACACAGAGACGCTGAGCAAAGGGTGCTGCAAAATAACAACCAGCTCACCAAAGCAGGACATGTATAATTTATAGCGTGGCTACTGCTCAGAAGGATCCATTATAAAACAGGGGGAGGCCACACCTGAATACGAATCTGTCCCTGATACTGCATGGTAAGATTCACATTCATTGCTCCCACTTTTTGCCTCTAGGCCTGCCCACCACTGACATGTAGCCCCTGAGAAGTTCCCTTAAGGGGATGTCGCCCTCATGCTGAAATCTTAGGTCTCACTGGTATGCCTGTAAACAGGGGGGGCAACTTGAATAAAATATTGTGGGGACCCAGGAAAGCCCCATCCTGCATAATCAATCACACAATGCACTGAGTGCACACCTTTTGAGTGGGAAGGCCCATCAACTTTGCGGGGGCCCAGCACCTCAAATATTTTGTTGTGGAGGCTGAAGCCCCCTTGGCCCCTAGGAGTTGGTTCGTATGCCTGTAAATATCAGTTGCTGCGATTCACAAGTGGGAAGAGTGCTGCTGTTCTCATGTCCTGCTTCTGGGCTTTCCATAGGAATCTGGGGGAGAGTCACACTGGCTCTGAATTTTTTTGTGCTAATAGAAAATCTCATGGGACAAGACCTCCCTAATGGTGACCCACCAAGATGACTACAGCCCATGAGCCATGTGCTATGCCAGGTGATTGACCCCCTCCTCTAGCCACCATTTTTCTAGTCTCAGCTGGGCAGCAAAACCACAATGTATAGATGGGCTAGACTCTCACATATGGCTGGTGGGGTAGCATTTGGCTTGGTGGACCACAAGTTGTTCTATGCAGCAAATCTGACTATAGAAGGAACAAACAGGCCCTCCAGCAATCCCACCTCAATCTTTTGGCTTCTACATGGTCCTAGCTACGGTTCTAGCCTCAACCTAACATTGCAGTAGCTGCCATACTACACTCGAATCCATTTCCTTCAGTGGCATAATGAGGATTCCTAACCTGTTTGCTTCTTCGTTTGTTTCCTGCAGGATGTTTCTCCTTGTGGGTGCTCCAAAGGCAAACACAACTCAACCTGGGATTGTGCAAGGAGGCCAGGTGCTCAAGTGTAACTGGAACCCCAACAGAAGAAACTGCCAGCCGATTGTATTCGATGCCACAGGTAATAATATAGCCATATGGGCTTTTGCCAACCCATGGGATTTGGATGAAATGCAAAGAGGAAAGCAAATCAGCAACCTGTTGGAAAAGATTTGGAGCAATAAGGGTCATTGTACACAAGGCTCACTTTGTTGGCCTGTCTTCATGCCATAATCATTCAAAATGGTGGAGGTTCTCTTAGCTCAGTGTTGTGAACCGTCTTGAGGGCTCGGGTAGTGATGCCTGTTGTGGTAGGCCTGCTGACATGCATAGTATGCCATTGATTTGGAATGGTTGTGACAAGACAGCCAACACATTCATTGTTGGTGAACAGTTTGGATCCTGGGGACAGAACCAGCAGGATGGGAGGATGTAGCTTTCCCACGTGATCTTGGGAATCTGTACTGCTTGGAAACCAGCCCCCATCTCCCTGCCATCTTCTGCTTGTTTCTGGCAGCCCCTCAAGGAACTGCAAATCCTAGCAGATAAAGTTTCTCTTGGCGGAAGTGCACCGGATTTGCAAATGTAAGGGGGGGAATGACGGCCTGTGATGAGAGGTAGGGTATAAGCCAATTCGAAGACATCTCTAAGCCGTCACTGTTCATTCTTGGCAGTTTCAATGTGTTAAAATAGGCTTTCTGGTGAGCTGGAATCTTTGTCGCTGGAATTAAAGAACTCTCTGCTTTACAGTGGCAAAAACCATTTGAAAGTGCTTTTTATATGCTGGCTATTCCAGCAAAGGGTACGTTGATTCCTTGTCCAGGGCTTAGAACAATGTAGGCATAACATAAAGGACTGGATTCTGGAATTTCACGGAGGGAGGGGGGAGGTTTCCTGTCCCCTCCTCTTCATTGCAGTGACTTGCACCCCCAATGAAAGCCTCTTTGGAGGGTTGAGGACCCCTCCTGAAAAATATGGGATGTGGTGTGGTAGGCTGCTATGAGAGGGGATAATTGCCCCAAATCAGATTTGAACCACAAGCGAAATTCTAGTTCCTGTTCCTAGCAGCAATCTCATGCCCTGCCCCACATTGTTTAGGAGCCCCCTCCCCAACCCTCCAGGGAACAATACTAGGGGGGCCTCAGGTGGCGGCAGCAGGTAAGAGGGGATGGGAAACTTTCCATTCAGAAAGTTTCTTAAGTTCACTTAGCCTGAGGCTCCAAGTCAAGACGTCCTGAAGTGGGAGATATGCTCATAAAGGCAAGCTTGAATTCCTGTGCTTATGAGTTGCAGATTACTCAGCCCCGCAGTCACTCCCACTAAAGCTAGATTGATTGATTGATTGATTGATTAATTGATTGATTTTTAAAAAGGGAAGCCATGTACACAGCATGACTTTGCACATGCAGCCCCACAGCCACTTGTGGACATGTGGTGGAATCCTGGTAAGCATTCTATAGGGGCAGGCAGTCATTTAAAGCATTTCTGGAGCAGTGCTGGGCTTGCAGGTACACTAGTTGCAGGTTAAGTACTTAATTCGTTCCGGAGGTCCGTACTTAACCTGAAACTGTTCTTAACCTGAAGCACCACTTTAGCTAATGGGGCCTCCCGCTGCCACGCTGCCGGAGCACGATTTCTGTTCTCATCCTGAAGCAAAGTTCTTAACCTGAAGCACTATTTCTGGGTTAGCGGAGTCTGTAACCTGAAGCGTATGTAACCTGAAGCATATGTAACCTGAGGTACCAATGTACTGTGTTTTCCCCCAAATCAACTTTGATCTAAATTGAGAAAAAGAACAACCTAGCTGTGTTTAAAGCTGGCAATGTGTCCATGGCCAAAGTCTGGATCCATCTCAAAGATTCTCCCACTAGCCTGCACACAAACACCTTATAGAAACATGTCATCTGGTTCCAGCTGTAGCCTGACAGTTCCAAAAAACCAGCCCATGAGCTGAGACTGGTCAGCTGTAGTGTGATGCAAGCCCAGTGAATTCCGCTCCCCTTCATTTGACTGTTGAAATGTTCCCCAGGAGAAACTCTGCAGCTCTGGTTTCATTTCTGATGTGCGTGGAAGGGGAAGCATGACTTTAAAAAGAGTGTAGAATTCCTTTATCAGGGCAACAGAGCCACGTTCCCTTCTGGTTATTGTGTGTGGGTGATCCCTTCGCCAACAATAGAAAGCCTTGTTTGAGAGCCAAACGACGCTATCGGTCAGGCATGGCCATTGCTGTGACCCATTTAGCATCTGGCATATTTAAAAGGGCCTTGCGTAGCGCCGTCCTCTCAGCCTTCTCCAGCTCAGGAGCTGCTGCCGGTGCCGAGAACTCATGCGGAAAATGTGTGCCAGGGGTCTGGGAAGGGGGGGAATTGGTGGGGAGCTGCGTGCCGACTTCTCTCGGCGTACGGCAGAGGAAGCTGGCAGAGACGAAGCTGAACTCATCCAGCGTGTCATTGTTCAAAGGCTGCGTTTGGGGGCGGTGGGTCACGGGAAGGTCTTTTTCCTATTTATAGCTTTAGTCTAAAAACAACATCTTGCCAACAAGCCCACAAAAGGCTCCTGTGGCAGCAAAAGAGCACATTAAAATATAAAACCCCAATGAAAACGTTTAGAACACCGAGTCCACTACAAAACGGGAGGGAGAGAGGAAGCCAATCAAGCTGATTTTGATAAAATAATATTAGGAACAGCTGATTTGACTGAAACCCTTTGTGAGCAGGAAAGTATTTATCACCTTCCTATGATATGAGCTAGTTAGAGGAGCCTCCCCAGGTAAGTGTTTTTCATCCTTAGGTCCCCAGGTGTTATTGGACTACAATTCCCATTGTCCCCTGCTGGTTCAGCCAGCGGTCAGGGATTATGGGAGTTGTAGTCCAACAGCATCTGGGGACTGAAGGTTGAAAAGTGCTGCCAGCAAGGGAAAGAGCTCAAATCAAGGAGACTCATCTTCACTGCCACCCAGCTTAGACAGTGGCAGCAACAAGAGAAGTTCCTTTAGAGGTTTGACATGGGATCAGGCATCCTGGACCCAAACAGCACAATCCTGCACGTCTGGATTGGATGGTGGGAAAGGATTATCTTTCATAATACTAAGAACTTGTTAAATGAAGCTACAGTTGGAAGATTCAGGGCAGTCAAAAAGGAAATTATTTCGTCACCCGGTGCATAGTCGAACTATGGAATTTGCTTTCACAAGATGTTGTGATGGCCGCTAACCTGGATGGCTTTAAAAGAGGTTCCAGGTTTGTTTGTTTTTCAAACTTGGCCCTCCAGCTGTTTTTGGACTACAGTTCCCATCATCCCTGACCACTGGTCTTGCTAGCTAGGGATGATGGGAGTTGTAGTCCCAAAACAGCTGGAAACCCAAGTTTGAGAAGCCTTGACCAGTGATGGCCAAACTTGGCCCTCTAGCTGTTTTGGGACTACAGCTCCCATCATCCCTAGCTAACAGGACCAGTGGTCAGGGATGATGGGAATTGTAGTCCCAAAACAGCTGGAGGGCCAAGTTAGGCCATCACTGGTTTAGACCAATTCATGGAGTATAAAGCTATCAGTGGCTACTGGCCGCATTGGCTATGTTCTGCCTCCATTTTGGGAGGCAGCACGCCCCTGAATACCAGTTGCTGAGCACTACAAGTGAGGAGAGTGCTGTTGTAGTCAAATCCTGCTTGCAGACTTCGTGTGGGTAGCTGGTTGGCCTCTGTGAGAGCAGAATGCTAGACAAGATGACCCCTCTTCTGCTCGTAGCTTTACTCGAATCCCCACAACGGGGTGAGCTCCCGTTGCTCGGTCCCAGCTCCTGCCAACCTTGCAGTTCGAAAGCACGTCAAAGTGCAAGTAGATAAATAGGTACCGCTCCGGCGGGAAGGTAAATGGTGTTTCCGTGCGCTGCTCTGGTTCGCCAGAAGCGGCTTAGTCATGCTGGCCACATGACGCGGAAGCTGTACGCCAGCTCCCTCGGCCAGTAAAGCGAGATGAGCGCCGCAACCCCAGAGTTGGTCATGACTGGACCTAATGGTCAGGGGTCCCTTTACCTTTACCTTTAAGTGTTTAACAGGTCTTGTGGATGTGTTTCAGGATTTGGGCCCTTGTGTGACTGAGTTTGCTATCCTTTACTAAGGTTCTGCAGAAGGAAGCAAAGGATGGACAGGGGCCCCTTTAGCAAGAAGAAACATTGCAGTTTCTCATTTCTTGGAGGGTCCTGCCAGACCTCTCCTCTGGTTTAATTTTACAGTTCAGATCAAAGCTTTTCAACACATGGTGAAACAGGATATGACATTTGTGCAAGGAGCGTGCTTCTTGCAAAACTCCCAGCCTATTTTGAAAGTGTTGCAACTGCTACATGGTTTAATATATGTTGATTTTCAGTGTGTGTATATGACAAAACCTTTCACTGAAGCTGTTTAAAAAGCTGTTTTTGAAGCTGTAATGAAACTACAGGCAATACACACAAGGAAAAAGTATAGAGGGAGCAAGCCAAAGATCCTGTATTTATTACTATTATATTTATATCCCAACTTTCCTCCAAGGAGCTCAAAGTGGCATATATGAGTTCTAACCCACTCCATTTTATCTTAACAACAACCCTGGGATGTAGGTTAGCCTGAGAGACTGTGGCTGGCTGAAAGTCGTCCAGCAGGCTTCATGGCTGAGTAGGGATTTGAACCCAGGTGAAAGAGACAGAGCACCTTGTAGAAGAATTAACAAAAGATCCAAGGGTGCTTGCTCCTGGCAGCTGATGCACTGCCAATTTTTTTAAAAAAAAAATTTTTGAGGAGGCTGGGACTCCTCAGTGTTCAGAGGGCCCTGTGTGCGATGTCAGGAAGTCATGTTGGGCCCCCTCAATCCTCTGGAGAAGGTGGCACCTCTGAAAGGATCTAAAATATCTAGGACAACTGAGACACAAAATGGTAGATGGATTTAATTGTGGATATGTAAAGTGGCACACCCATGAGAAATATCTTGGGCAAACCAATCCCAACCTCTGATCATGTGCTTTGGGTGTGCGGGTGGGTGTTAAGATAAAGAGGAAATTTCATGAAGATAGCCTTCTTCTTTATTCTTTGGCGATCACTCATAGCTGAG